AAATTTAAACACAATAAAAGATGTAAAATTATAATTCGATTAAATTAAAAGACAGAATTAATTTAATTCAGCGAATAAAGCAAGATTGATTCTAAACTGCAGACGGCAAAAGATATAAAACAATTCTGGAGCATTCTATGTGTATCTCCGTGGAAAGGAATGTATGCCACTTTCACTATATCGCAACGTATATTTATGACGTGATGATGTTACTTTAAGCTACATTGTGCGTCAACAAACGAATAATTACGGGATATTAAGAATAATCACTGTTAGGGCAGCTTGCCCGTTCACTCGAGAGGGATTCGAATAAACGTTGTGCGTTTACACATGGCACTATTGTTATTCGCAGCGCATGCATGAAGGACGAAACGGAAGCAGGGTCGCTCTTCTCACTCTCTTTTTGTCCGGTCGCGACTCCGGAAGTTACCAGGTGCATCCCGTGCTATGAAAAACTCGCACGTTACTATATAGGAGCACCGATAATTAAGATGTATCCAGCCATCTAATTTTCGTGCTTCTCTGCACGAAAAAAAGAAAACAGGTGCAGCCCATTTCATTCAAGGTTCGAGATCTTCAAAAACTTTGAAGATAAAAAAAATAACAGTCGAGAAGGCAAACGTTTAAAATTAATTCAATCATCTTTGGAATGAAAATACTTTCGCCTGTATCATCTTCTTCGATGTTCGATAAGATTTGAGATGTGCATTCATTAAGAAAAGAGCAAAAAGAGAGAGAGAGAGAGAGAGAGAGAGAGAGAGAGAAGGCAGTTTGAAACAAAACATTACAAAACAATGATGGACCATCGTATATAATCAACATGTTCAACAGTAAGACATGGCATGCTTCGATAATGGACGCTAGAAGGAGCGTTCGGTAAAAATCGAATTCAAGCAGATGGACCATCTATGAAAGCCCATTGATTAATGAGAGACGTACATTATAATTTACAGGTCATAATGAGTGATATTATCAATAAACGAGTAGCACACAGCGCCAAGGCCCATAGCGGTTCTGTATCGCAGAAGGTCTGCAGGCGCCGATCAGTCGCTCGTACTAATGGTTAATTACTTCTCATGTACGCTTATAAGGATGCCGTCTCTCCTTACGTCAAGTGGTGTCCAATTTATCTCGCGGAACGAGTTAAACGATCAGCGAAGAAATGCTTCTGCCCGACGCGGCCGGCGAGAAGCCGTCATTTTCCCGTCGACCGCTTTTTTCCGGATCAACGATCACGAATGATCATCGTAATGTCAATTTCAATTTCTGCAGATCGTTGAGCCGATGCGAGAGACCTCGTGAGAGTCTAAGAACATCCAGAAAGGAACAAACTATTGACAGAATAATATTTATTTATTTTAAACAAGACAGATAACTACCTTCTAAGTAATTGAAATATAAAATGAAAATATAAGATGTTAAATATTTGAATAACAACAAACTTTTAAAAACTCATTCTAATTAAAGAAATTCGCAATCACTTTCACTTGAAATGAGAAATATTATAATAAGTTATTATAATAAGTTATTATAATAACTTAATAAGTTATTATAATAATTAATAAGTTAATAAGTTATTATTATAACATTTAAAAAAGTTTATTAAAAGATTATATCTTTTCAGAGAAATATAAATATATTTGTATATTCGAACAAAATTTGTAGTTAATTCGTTAAAACTATTAATAATTTTAAAATTTCCATTAATACTTTGCTCTTCGAAAAAACTTTTTCCTTTTTGCTATCAAAAATAGTCAATATCTATGCTTTGTATTAAGCAAAAAAATTTGCGTAACAAACCGATCCAATTTCAATTCCAAATTTTTCGCGAATCCTCGCGGTTTAAATTACTTCCGGTTCAATGTTTAACGTAATTGGATCGGTCAGCGATCAATTAGGAACTACTCATTGCAACGAGTACACGTGCCGCGTCACGTTCGAGTGCTAGAAAGTTTTGCGTAGGAGCAACTTAGTATTAAGGGTCGTTTTGCGAGCGTGAGACTTAGAGCCAAATACCCTTATAATCGTGATCAGTTTGTAATTGTGTGCGTAACATGGGCGTCGAGTAGTAGTTATAAAAATAGAA